GACGAAGCTTTTGTGTATAGGTGACGTTTGCGAAAGAACCTGAATAATGCATTTTCTATTGAGAAGTTGTATTTTATTTAAAATTGAGATGTCATCATTTAAACTTATGTTGTTGCTATTCAAACAATAGTCTATATCCAACAATTCGACTAAATCTTTGTTGTGTGCATGGTTATGGTGTTAAGTAGTAGAATCCTATAAGAGTTAATCGTTTCCGCATATACTGACAAAAACATATTGCACTATACATACTTACTTATTCTAATTTGAGAAACAAGGTGAGAACCAGGCGAGCAGTCATACCGCCTTCATTTTCTTTCTTGATGCAGTGGTGCGATGTGACCGTCATACTAGTGTAGCTATTTTTCTCAGTATTTTCATTGCCAAGCTTAACCTAAATATTTTATTGGAATCATCTTTTTTTTTATTATTCTATAACATTGTTTCTAAGAAAAAATATACATTAAATTTTTTTTACTTAACAATAAATACAGGATTCAACCCCACAAGAGAAATTTCTCATATGTGGAGGCAATAACAGGTTAGTAAATGTATATCTTCTCTATTGTTTATTATTGCGACAGAAATTTCGACCAGGCAAAGCTCGCAAGCCATACGAGTATGCACTCAAGAACCACTCCAAAAATATCTCTATCAAAGTAAAAAAAAATCGTATTACATCAAAACACACAATGAAATCAGTTAATCAACAATCAAATAGTCAACTCGAAAAGTAGGTATAAGAGCTACGGTTCTCAAAAATCGACCAAACTATGGCCATTTGAAGTTTTTGCTACAAAAAAATACATATTTTTTTCCATGTCCATTCCGACGTAGTTTTCAAATCACAAAATGGAAACGGACGTGCACAGTGGATTTTTTGCTCTAATGTAATTTCGTAACAAACCCTTTCAAATCGAACCGTGGTTTCGGAATCCAGGCTGGATGAAAATATGATGATGTCATCCATATACGCACGACATACTTTTCCTTGTAAGAAACGTTGTCAATAACGCGCTGGAACGTTGCAGGCGCATTTTTTAATCCGAAGGGCATTCTCAGATAGTCATAATGACCATTCTCTGCATTGAAAGCTGTTTTTTCAATAGATCCTGGGTCCATCTCTGGGCCTGGATTCCGGAACCACGATTCGATAGTATCGTCCATATAAAATAGATAGACGATACTATCGAATCGTGAGTTCGGAATCCGGCTCCAGAACCTCTGAACGTCCCGATCCAACGATGATAGGATCATCCGACGGCGCGCTGATTGGTCACAATATTTTCCCGCCAATTTTTTTCCGAAAATTTCAACATTAATTCTACCTATCATCGGATGAAGTTAAAATAACAGTATATCCTTACTCCACGTTTTTAATTGGGCATCCTTGCTTACCTATGCTTGAGTATGTTTACTTTGCAGTCTGCAGTTGTTTTGAACGGTTGTTACTTGGTTTGTTATAGAGAATGAATCGCTGTAATTATAATTATCAGTTCCACGTTGAACAAAACAGCAAAAATTATTATTAGAGCTTGGATGGTGCTAAGAATTAATAATGTTTTCCTTTTATCTGAACAAAAATACATAAAATTGATAAACAAACAGCAAGATTTAACATGACACGAAAAACTGAGACCTCTAAAATATTTTTTGCCATCCGATTTTTATCATCGGATGACGCATGCATTCTCGATCAGCAGTCGTACCCCACCAATCTTCTTGTTGCCGATTTTTCTTGGTTGGTCGGATTGCTCCTTTTTTTTTTCAGTTTGAGGGAGATCTATTGCCGGTACTTCAAGTTCAAAAATTGTTTGATGTCACTCGTACCTACTACTGCGACTTCTTTATCCAAGGCTGATAAGCACCAGGGTCCTTATTCTTGAAGCAAGGGAGCAGCGTTCCCAGAAGAACGAATGTTCCATCTTTGTTACCTATATTATCATTTGCATATCATTGAGAAAGACGGAACACTCGTTCTCCTGCGAACTTTGCTCCGCTGTCTCAATAATAAAGATTAGGAGAGATGTCAGCCGTACTCTACAATCACGTTTACTTAGGACGTTCCTTCATTGTTCCCTCAATTATTTTCTCCTATTGGTTCTTTTTCTTCTTATATTGACAATGCTGTGATCTTTGGTTTGGATATCTTTCAGGCCGCTTCGATTTATAGGGCTTTTGACTTGATTCTGAACATTACTACCGATTTTTTGGTTAAAATTCCTTACTTCTTGACAAACAGATATTATTATCTTGATCCTCGAGTCTGGGTCGCTCTTCCTCGGAGGCTACGGTTTCAATCCATTCCTGTTCTTGTTTTTCTTTCTATCTTCGGTATTCCTCTTCCTGGTTTTCTATTGATCTCTGTTGTTCTCTGTCCCTGTTTTGTCTTCGTTCTTCGTGCCTCTCCTACTATCTTCGGGTATCCTCGTCTTATCACTCCTTGTGTCTGTCTTCGAGCTCCCTCTTCAATATTTTTCATTGATTTTAACAATATTTGAGGAACCTGCCTACTGCATTTCGGCTGGAAGCTCATCTCGTGTGTTTACTATAAGAATACTTTGAATATTACTTGCAGCTTGATTTTGAATATATTGTCCTGTGGAGAAGTCAAAATCTCAAATAGAACACGATAGAATGTTCTAGACAAATCACTTTCTGGTAATCATTCCACTATTTTTGTAATACTTCTGGATTTCGAATAGAACAATAGATTGTTCTGGACCTTATCAGAAAACCCTTCTGTGAATTTGTTTTCCGGTTACCAGTCACTATACATGTTTCAGTTCAACAGAAGACACTTAGGACTTATGACTTTTCAGCACTGACTCCAAATTATCAGGGACTTTGTGCGTCCTCTAAACCATCTTTACTAACAACGACTTTTATCGAACTAATTTACTATACGAAACTGTCTGATAGTCTGACTTACAAAATACGCGCTTCAGATATATACATAATCATTTAAGTACTCGATCGAGGAATTTATAGAATCACGTAAATCCTTGTTTATTGCAAGCACACAATGGATTTTCTGAATACTCATGAAATCACCAATGCAAATTCGTACGTAACAATAATTTGAGGTGGTGAGGAGCCAAATAATTTGTAGATAGGCTTACAATTTCTTCTCTTTTAATACTCTCTTTCACTGATGAGTAGCAGGATGTTGCGGTGCATTTCCGGGGTCAGTATTCGGGTCACTATTTGGCTGACGCCATCCTGGCTACGAAGAATTATGTGTATTCCCTAAATATCTTTATTGCAGTTTACTTATGTGGTAAATTTACTCGGGTAACTGTCACATTTTTTTTTCTGTGCTTGGTTGGTATATATACCGTACAGTATTTCTGGAGTTTTATGCAATCGGATTCGACGATGCGGATCCAGCTTCAACGACTTCAACATAATCATAAAATAAAAAATAATTAATGTGCGAAATTAAAACTGGAAAATCCACAAGTTGCTGATAGAATGGTAATCGATGAAAGATTTGACCTGGCTTTACTTCCAAACTCCACTCAGCTGGCCAGCTCTTTCAGGAAGTTCAAGTCCAATGCGTAGGAGTGCAACGAAACTGTCTTGTTTTAAACCGGTCGCGGCAAACGAAAAACCGCGGGTCTATTTTCTCGAATCACACGAAGTGGGCGGAGTGTTTTTCGCGACTAAAGTATATACATATTTTTCCTAAGCCGTTTCTGGAATAAAAACCAATCCAGGACGCTTGGAATAGTGTACATACATGTAATTACGGTTTGACATCCTCAAAGTTTGTAGGTAAACACTTATTGCCCAACAAATTTGTTAGCTCTCAACTAAATTATTTCAAATGCCATGCATCTACTTTATATAGCTTTCATGTTGCCTGTCATTTTAGCTAAATTGAATTCAGTAAAGTGGCAGATACATGGCAATATATTTCCGCTGCAATGCTCGATTCCTAAAGGTCTTTACCATTCATATAATATCAACATCAAACATCATGTTCTAGCTTTCTGATGTCCTACACGTTTTCAATAATCCTATTTCTGTAAGTTGCAGTTAAACATATTATTATTTTTATTAAATGTGACGTTTAAAGACCCTATACTCTATGGCCAAATTGAAAATTAAATTTTAAATAAGCCCATATTTGTGTAGAATTGCACTTGGAATGGTGGACATTTATTTGCAGTTACCAGTTTCCACTATTACGACTTTTTTAAACCCCTTTTTTCCCTCTTAAATTTTCATTAACTTTCAGCATATAGGCTCTGCCTTGATTTTTTTCATTTTCTCAGGCATTTGGTTTTATTATAATATCTGCTATATCAGCCTACTTAATCTGGTATTTATTAAAACCTAAAGCACTAACTTGATATTCTGCTTGCCACGCAACCACAACACAATAGCAAAATTAATATAACTTTAAATTACGGGTTTATAAATTAAATTTAAGTTGCGGGCGTTCCAGTTCCGACGCATCTCAGCACATTAAAAACTCACAACCGAAATTTAATAAAATTCGGAATTTATTACGAGCTTGTGTCTGGAAAAGGACGACGCGCGGCTCTATAAGTAAGCTTGCGGTAAACTTTCATTTTACTGAACGGATTTTCCTTCGGCAATACAAATTATTATTATTTATTGGTTGGCAGCAGTTGTCTGCAGAAGCACTGATATGAGACTCTTGAAAGTTAAGCTTTAGATGTTAGTCCTATAACTTTCTAGAGGTAAAACCGGCGGTATTGAGGTAATTTCGACAGTAATACATAATTCAGTGTAAATAAAGTCAAAGCCGCATGCATCCCAGAAGTTTTAGAGTTAGGAATTCTAATCAAATAAACTCGGGAATGACAGAACATTTCCTAAGTCGAATAGCTCTGTAAGTTAATCAAATCAAAATAAGCTGCATTATTTTATTTTATTTAAGCATAATTATTTTTATCAATAATTTAATATAATAACTGAAATATTTATATGGGGGACTAACTACCGATGTGACCTAATGTGAAAATAGTTTCGCAGACTGTATAAGTGAACTAGTGCCAAAATTATGTGCCAATTACAAATTGTCCGTTGATAACCGTATACCATCCGAGTCGTCCAAAATGTTTTTCTCGCTAAACAATAACCTCAATCAGAATACCAATACGAATTTCGGTAATATAAATAACAATAATCATAATTTGAATGGGAATAATCCCTTTCATAATGCGCTTCCGACGCCATCCCCTTCAGCGTCGCCAAGTACGCCGGGTCCGCTACCGCCGTTGGGTGGCAATAATGGAAACAATGGATACCGGTTATTGTCCGCCCAGGGAATGGAAACTTTGCAAGCGTTTTTGAGGGAACACGGAAACGATTGCATCAAGCAATTTGTTAAGGTAAGCCTATATTTTTTTTAAAAAACTTGTCCTAGCAGCAATTTCGTTTGCGATCTGGAAAGTTCCACCGCTGTAGAATTCGCCGCTTAAGGCGTCTTCGAAGCAACAGAAGCTATCTAGAATTACATAAATGGGCGTTTTTTATTCTAGCGGGGTTTTACCTTGGTTTTTCCTATGAATTTCGTATATAGGGTTTAATCTGGACCGCACAGTTAGAGTTATTAACGTTACAAGTCCGATAAATAGCAAATAACGGCGGAGTTTATTGTCATTGATCGATACAGTAGACTGCGAAATCGGCGTTGTAACCAGGAACTTTTGATTTGAAAGAACGCGAATTAATTGAATGAATAGACCTATTCTCCGTCGATTTTAATCTGATACTCGGACGGAATGTGAGCTGGTGGTTCCCTACATTAGAACGCCAATGGTTACCTGACATCACACCTGTTTTTGCCATATGAAACAACCCCTCGCTCCTCATACGGAAAAGGTCAGTTAAAAATCGACGAACAATATTGTCATATGCGCAGATTACCAAATTTGGTCGTTCCTCGTTTCCTTAACCTCTAGTTCTGCACATTCACCGGAAAAGGCAGCTTGGTAAGTGCGACGATTTCCGTAATCAACTGTCAGTATTAAAATTTCAATACGGCAGCTTTCTCTGAGTAGGTACTTCGTGATATGCCACATCCGGTATCCGCCAAAATAAACAATACCGAAATCTAAAGCTCCGAGGAAAGCAACCACTCTTCATACATCTGTTTAACGATTTGCAGAATCATCAGAATCGTTATGAAGCTTATTTGCGATGCTATGGTATGCACATTTTGAACATACGCAAATTAATAAATAAATATAATTTTTTGTAGTATAACATACCCGGGTTCGCTCAGTAAGATTGAACGATGAGAATTTTTATTACCTTTTAAACAACAAATCTTCTGAAAAATGAAATGAGAAACAAATAGGACCTACGTTGTGAATGCTTACTCAAATTTACTTACTGGACATGCGCCCGACATAGCAAATATTTGGGAAATTTAAGGGAAGCTGTAATATGTGAAAGAAACGCAAAATTTGTGAAACGCCTCCTTTATTTTCAAAGAAAAACGTACCGTTCTCGACCTGGAATTGACGAGGAAAAAGAGAACGGAAGAGAAAACCTCGATTCCCCAAAAATCGAAACATACTTTGTAATTTTAATAATAATTGTGAGTCAATAATTCAATAAAAGCTGAAACTAGGTACCATTTTATCATTTTAACAATAATAACTGTGAGTCAATGATGCAATAATTTAAGTCAATAAAAGTTTAAATTAGGTACCGCCTCTGTTCTTGTGCTAAAATTTCAATTACACACACGACATTCAATCAACACCACCTGTATTCCAAACTGAAGAGTTTTTGGTTAGTTAGCCAGTTTCCCAGTAGGTACTGAGGTCCCGTACGGGAAGCTACTCAGCTATAGTTGAGTTAGAGCCAATATCTCTAGATTCATTATTTCAATTTGTTAGGATATTCTCTTGTCAGGGTAGGAAAATGTTAGTAAATTCAACAAGGCTCTAATGCACGCTATAAATCCAAAAATCAAAATCCTAGCACAAAAAGGCAACACATAATTTCTAAGGTTTTAATTTACTCTTTATCTGTGTTGTTTACAGTATGAAACGATTTTGGTTAAATACATAAACAATGCACATGTTATAAAAAAATGTTATAAACAAACAAAAAAAAAATATAAAAATTGGGAAAAAAATAATAATACAGTAGTGTCGTGATAATCCGGATCAATTAAAACCAGACCAATCTGGATTATCAAATTATTCGGATTACTAAGGCATTTTACAGTTCGCTTTTAAAACTATTTTGAAAAAATAACATGCCATATTTAAGCAGAAAAACTTTATATTTATTTGAAAACTCGTCTATAATCGCTAACTTTTCGTTGAGACTTAAAGTTTTGTGTTTGCGTTTAATAGGTTCCATTTTCTTTAAAAAAACCCACACAATCAGGAAGGACGCCGCGTATTAAATGATGCGTGTAGACATGTGAAAAACTACCTATTCACTTGAACACAGTTACAAAACGACAAGTGAAAACCTGTGCTTTTATTTTCAAGAGTCATGTGAATGAATTCGGATTACCCAATCAAGTAAAATCCTGATTACAAAGTCATTTATCGAGACACTACTGTACTTGCGTAAATTGAACTCTCAAAGACCAAATAATAATTAATCCACTAACCTGTACGTTCCTTACACACACTCACTAATAACAAATTGAATTGATCAATTAATTTTAATGCAAAATAGGAATGAAAATTGAAAAATGAATAAGTACAGACGCGCGTCTCGGAGAGCCGCCGCTTGTTCTCCATTCCAAAGCCTAATCGCTTATTCTTCTTTACCTCCCTTTCGGATGGTACCCTCGTTGTTCCCTAAACCTAAACTCTGTGGCGCAGTACATGGTTGTAACATTTAATTTTATTCAGTAAACGTTTTTTTTTTTTTTTAAATTGAGTTTTGAAGAAATAATATTTTTAATAGGTGGTTCTTCTCATTTTATATTCGGTACTGTTTAGTTTGGCGTATACTGTACTTAAAGTTGTTTCAAATAAAGGTTCAACGTTTTTCCAAGTTTCTGATCAACCTTGGCGCCCGTGTGATGCTGCAGAAACAAACCTCATGTGACTTCAATGAATAATTTTTTCAGATCACATCCAATGAATTCTTGTATTATTATTATTTAGAAATTATTATCCAGATTTGTTGTTCACAGTTTACAGTTCAATTTTTAATTTCCACTTTTTCACAACCAAATCAAAATAGATCATTCAATAAGTGCTTTAGACATTGAAAGATTGAAAGATCTATCCAGAACTCATAAAGTGCAAGTGAAAGTTGGTTCAAGCGAAAAGTTAAACACACAAAATCAAAATCTAACCTCTAAATGGGTACCCTATTTCAAAGACACAAATCGATCCAAGAATTGCAAAGAGTCCTTCGGAGCGCCTTGGGAGTACTGCCAGGAAATTTTTTGTGAAGAATGCTCAGGCATATCTTCCTCTGAAATAAAAGCTCTCATAAACAAAAAGCGAATCGTCATGCACTACTGTGAGGAATGCAGGGCTACAGTAACACATGCCCTTCATGATGGGCTTGCTATTCAACAGCAAGTAAAGGAGGTAATATTAGAGTTAAAGAGTCTTAAGGAGAAGATGAATGAGTCAACACACCCTCTCCCCCCACTTCCCCATCAGCTCCAACATACGCCCAAGTTGTTTCAGAGACAAATCACCTCAAAAATAAGGTACAGAAACTGGAAGACAAATTTCAGCAGCAAACTGCCTCCCCAACCAAGCTTGAACTCGAGCCAGCAATCCAAGAAATGCAGGCACGTGAACGTAGAGCGCAGAACATTTTTATCTTTGGAGTGGAAGAGTCAAACTCACCTGAGCCAGAACAGAAATCAGCTTTTGATTTAAAAAAAGCCACTAGCATAATACGTGACATAAACGGCTTAACTGAACCCGCAAAAGTTAAAACAACTCGAATTGGAAGGTACGAAGCAAATAAGAAAATACCTATAAGAGCCACATTCCCAACCAAGGAAGAAGCCCTGCAGGTGCTTAGACTGAAAAGTAAACTAAAAGAGCAAAGTAACACATATATCAAGTATGACCTCACTCCCAGTCAACGTACCTATCTAAAAACAGTAATCTCAGAGTTAGAAACCAGAAAAGTTGTAGGTGAGATAGACTTAATTATAAAATACCAAACTAATATTCCAAAGATTGTGAAAGCTTCTACTAGGGCAGCTTCAAAAAACTAAATTCTCAAACTGTTCAAATACAGTTTGACACACTGCACACCCACAGTGTTTGTATCCTAACCTTGCTTTTTATTGTTTATTTTTATTTAATGTGTGTAAAGGGTGTGTATTTCAAGGCCTGATGATGCTCTATTGAGCGAAACACGTGTAGCTAATCAAATAAATTATGAGACTGTGACTTTGTTTTTGTTATCTTCAAAAATAAGTATAAAAGGACAAAAACAAACAGAGAATATGATCATTACAAACAACAAAATAATATGAAGCAGATTTTAAATCAGGCTAGACAAGAATATGAACAGAATTTATTGCAAGCTCCTGTTAAGAAATTTTACTCATATATAAAACATTCCCTAAACTCCCGTCTTCAAAATATTGCGCTCAGAAACACTAACATGAAGCAGACTACTTACGATGAGACTGAAATTGTCAATTGCTTTGCAGACCAATTCCAGAAAGTCTTCACTCAAGAAGATAACAACCTAACAACTCTTTCACCTGAACTACGCATCGCTGCAGAGATAAGTAATATAGAATTCATCCCAGAAAAAGTACAAATGACCATTTCTTCTCTAAAGACGGAGTCTAGTCCTGGTCCTGAGTCCTATAGCCACTATTCTAAACTCTATAATGAAAGAAGCTCCTATTCCAGAAATATGGAAATCCTCAATAGTTGTAGCAATCTTTAAAAAGGGGGACAAACTGGAACCATCAAATTACAGACCAATAAGTCTCACCAGCGTACTCTGCAAACGCATGGAGAAAATCCTAGTGAATGAGCTAACATCTTTTTCACTAGAACAGCAACTAATACCTCATTCTCAGCATGGACAGCATGAGTTCTTACCAGGAAGATCAACATTCACCAACCTGCTGGAAAAATTGAACAAATGGACTCAAATGGATGACAGTAATACACTATTTGACATTGTCTACATAGATTTTGGAAAAGCTTTTGATAAGGTACCTTTCAGGAGACTCCTGCTAAAATCGGAGCACTGCTGCCATTTTCTTTCTGTAGGCCATGATGCTGGCCTCTTTCCTAATGAAGATATCTAAGGGCTCTAGCCCCATAATTATCTCCATGGATTATGATTAGTCTGAGCATTAAGTAAATCCTGAACCGTATCTTTTTAAAATGTATAGGTTTGAACTAATGCTTTTGCCAACAATGGCTTCCGAATGTTGGGGATAACTATATATACGTTTTTGGTCTCTATCTATTATTTCTGTCGCCTGTACGTAATTTTCCTGAATCCCTGAAGGGCATACTCACTGAATTATCATCTAGGAAGGAGTTTACTTTCTGAGGTAGGTTATTGTATGTGTGTGCAGTTGCTGGATGGGTGGTTTACTACGAATTTCTCGAACGTTTCAGTGAAGCCATATCCCTAGCATTCATAATACCACTGCTAAGACTGTCTAGATTTGATCCTCCTCTCTACGCGGACATTCAACCTCATTCCGAAAATGTTTGGACAATGTAGTATTACATACCTGGGATCGTTCAGTAAGATTGAACGATGTGAATTTTTATTACCTTTTAAACAACAAGTCTTCTGAAAAACGGAATGAAAAACAAATAGGACCTACGTTGTGGAAACTTACTCAATTTTACTAACTGGACATGCACCCGACATAGCAAATATTAGGGAAATTTGAGGGAGGTTGTGATATGTAAAAGAAACGAAAAAATTGTGAAACGTCTACTTCATTATTGAAGTAAATCGTACCGTTCTCGTCCTGGAATTCAAGAGGGGAAAGAGCACGGCAGAGAAACCCTCGATCTCAATTCCTCAAAAATCGAAACATACTGTATCATTTTAATAATAATTGTGAGTCATTAATCAATAATCAATCATTTAAGTCAATGATTCAATAATTCAATAAAAGTTTAAATTAGGTACCATCCTTTGTCTTTGTGCAATTCCACACACAACATTCAATCAGCACTATCTATTTTCAATACTGAAGAGTTTTATGGTTAGTCAGTTTCACTAGCAGGTACTGAGGTCCCATACGGGAAGCTACTCAGCTATAGTTGTTTTTGAGCCAATATCTCTAGATTGATTATTTCAGTTTGTCTGCTAGGATATTCAGTTTCTTCTCTCTAGTCTAGTGTTTCATTCTCTTGTATCGTCTTCGGTTCCGGTACCTTCGTTTTCTGTGGCGCGCCCCGTTCAGCCCTAAACTTGACGGCGCATACATGGTTGCAACATATACTGTTATTCAGTAAACGTTTTTTCAAAAATTTAAAATTCAAAGAAATAATATTTTAAATAGGTGGTTTTCCTCAACAAGGAGGAGTGGCATCGGCTCAGTTTATCAGCTGCGAGAGTTCTTCGTCATCTTCTTTTGCTCAGTTTTTCTATAGTCGCTGCTACTGGCCTATCTATTGGAAGTCATATGATAACCGCATGCAGCTTCTTATTTTTCAGTTAGTACGTGAAATACGGACTCTAAAGCCCATCAAGAGTTCTGATCAGTGCCCTATCACTCTGATGTCAATTTTTCTCATCCAAGGTTCTCTCTCCACCGTGACCCAATCGGAGATCACTTGGTGACTGCTGGCATCTTCGATACGACCTTTGTGGAGCATTTGATGGACGGATCCTGGCTTTCTATTCGGAGTCGGCATCCAAATCCATTTCCTTTTCAGCCCCTGACTTCTCAAATCTCGTATCCTATTGGTAGCAACCAGGGGCTCAATAAGATACCATCAGATAAATTTCGACCATTATAAAAAGCAAATTTTCTCTGAAGAAACAAGACGACGTTTGAAAACTGCTTGTGACTGCTTGGTTGGCGGTTTATCAAAAAGGATCCTCATAGACGTGAAATGCAAAGTTTGCCATTAATTTAATATGTTATCCGTCATACGGCAGGAGAAATTCCGCAATTTCGCTTTTATAAGGATTTAGTTTTAGGCACCTGTCAAATTATTTTGAATATGACAAGGTAGGAAAACTCAGGCTGTGGTTTGGATTGCCTTGCCTGATCAGAGTTTCCAGACTTCGAAACCAGGTACCTAAATTAGGGTGAATATTATACCACATTTATATTCCAAAATGCAATCGTATTCACGTAAAATTAAAATCAAATCCACTTTTGATTCCTATGTTCGGCTGAACGCAATTTTGTTAATCGTAGGTACTTTCAAATTACTCATTTTCCAGTGGTGGACAAGTGAATAATTTGATCTTGTCATAAGGTTGATGGGAGAAAAAAACAAAGAGACAAATGGAATTTAGAACTAAATCAATTTTTTAGCTAACAGCGATTGATGAATCTACATCTGTGTTTGACAAATGGCAAGTCATTCTAGCTCTGCGATAGCATTAATTAGATTTGTTTGTTCAGTCTTGATAAAACTGGTCCAAATTATTGTTTAATTGACCAACACAAAATATTATAATTTAACGAAATCTTGATGCATCAATGTCTGTAGTTTCTGAACGATCATTATTTTGTCTATTTGGGGATGGATGAAAATTTAGATAAATTCCCTTATCTTCTCCAAAATTTGTGGCAATAAATTAATACAAACTTTTTGTTTTTTGTTTCAAATCTTTCGCATTATCACCCATCCAAAAATTGGTTAATACTGCTGTCCTCAGTCGAATCGTGGTTTTCCATTACATAAAACCCAAAACTAAATTTAGTGGAAAGGATTCTATAATATATTCTTCAGTGAAAAGTCGCCGGAATTTTGGTAAATATAGTAATTGAAATAGAAACTTAGCTTAGCTGGAATTCGTTGGAAGTTCAGTTTTCAGATTTCTCGTTGCACTTCATTCGGCTTAATAGTTACGGTCGGCTCTCGGAATGCTGAACTCACTGGGAAAGTTTTTACGTGAAAGCTTAGAGCTTTTTGGGATTATTCGTTATGCTTCTCTGGAATGAAGCACAATGAAAATACAGATATAAATATTTGCTTGCATACCTACTTTGTTTTAAATAGAATATTCGAATAAAGTAAATAGATTCTACCTAGCGGATTTCCAGAATTTTTAGCACAGCTACCAAATTAATTAAATGTATTCAAATTAATTTTTTCGAACCCTTTTGGCCAGCTTCCTGGTGAAGGAAGGTGATTTATTTGAGCAACTTTAACTTATTTCATCAACCTAGTATTTTTCATAATAACCGAAACACTCACTGTTTTCTAGAAGTTAAACATTGCTCGCAAAATATCCTCGAAAATATCCCTCTAGGCTCTACCTGTATATGTAGTCGAATAAAGCCTTGGTCACGAGAACAATCTAATAATCGTTCACATTTCTTCTACGATTTTTTTTTTTAATAATCGCTCTGAAACTAAAATCGCGAGTAACCACAGGCAAACCCACTCAAGATAATATGGCAGTGGCTCAAGAGGCAATTTGTAATGCAAAGACTCGAGTTCCCAAAGGGTTGCACCAGAGACGCCGACATTGAGGACATACTTTTCAAGTCTTATTGCCCGGTCTCTCTGTGGTGGTCTCTAATGTAATTGCCGGGAGAATTCCTGAGAAATTAGGGGACTTTTTGTTTGCTTGAACATTGTGTAGTTTCGATCCAATTGGGAAATAGCTTCGAGAACACTTGCCGTAAATTTTTCAACAGTTTAGCGGAAAGTGAAATGTAAAATCTCTAAATCTAATGGCATTCTAACTCCATTTATTGCTTTTGTTACTAAGGCACAGTAATAAAACTAAAACTTGTTCTACATGTCGTCGTCGTTTATCCAGCTGGCAACAAATTCAGATCTTTGCTTTGCAAATTGCCTTTTCGGTCACCAGAAAGGACGAATATTTGAATTCGAAGCGTTCCAAAATTCGTTGGTTTTAAGTTTTGAATCCAAAATTTAAACCAACATGATATATTTATTATTTGATGCTATGTGTGTTTCGGGAGAAATGTCGAAGTTGCAACCGCACATAAATCATTTATGTTCAAATTCGACATGATAAACTCGTCTTTCGTAAAGGTTATACAATATTTAATGAAACATGGAATAC